TATATGAGGGGAGAGTGTGGGGCGGTAGGAGGAGGAAATACCTGTAAAATGTTGGGCTGGTTCAGGTAGGGGTTGGGATTTTCCTGAAATAGAGCATATATTTTTGAAAGGGGGAGGGGCAGTAATTATAATGTAGTTTTATTTTGTTAACAAGAAGAAGTATCATTCACCTTAATTTTTTACACCCGCGACAATGTTAACAATCAACATAAATACTTCAATACTTCAAGGTAGGCCTCAGAGGAGTCTAAAACAGGGGTCGGTCAACCTTTTAAGACGGAAGAGCCAAATTTACAAATTTTTTAAAGAGCCACTAACATTTTCAATTCAATACTTGGTATTTTATAAGGCTTAGGCCAGGGTCGGCAACCTTTTGAGACAAAAGAGCCAAAAGTTACATTTTTCACTATTTCCAAGTTTTTAAAGAGCCACTAACATTTTAATTTCAATATTTTATTATTTGATAAGGGTTAGGTACATAAATTTGATTTGTTATTTAAAATAAATAGCTTTTAATATGAAATAATATTTATTCACATACAAACATGCACTTATTCGCCAGAATAGTGAATTTATTGATACAAAATTAATAATATAGGACTATTCAAATCCACTTTAGAAGAAGTTAAATTTTTTTTCTATACGGACATCACATCGCATTAGACTAATTCCGACTAACGGGCTTGAATATCGGTTTGATTTCTGTATCGGTCTCTTCAGTCCTTCAGTTCTCACCAGGCATATCTTCCACCCTACTGGACGCAGGGTAAACTCGTACCCCATAGTCCAGTACAACAGTAGGAAGCTAATAACTAAAAAACGTCACTCAGGTCATATTAATGATTACTGACGGATATGGAAATGTATTATGAATAAAATAACATTCCCCATTTAACGCTGTACGAAGAAGCCGGCACTTGGGCAGTGGCCAGCGTGGAATCTATATATATAATTCTCTTCTTCGAGCCGTTAGAAAACAAGCTGCAAACGCTCTCCCTACCTCCCCACCCCTACATGGTTTTAGTGAGCTGTGTTCACTCTAAATGTTTACAAGCAGAGCCAACGATTTTAAACGTAGGGGGGGGGGGGGGGAGGAGGGTGGAGGGAAGGAAGGGGGGGGGGGGGGTTATGGTCCTTTACGAGCTACTTATAGTGTTTTAAAGAAATATTTTCAGTGTCAGCGTTGGTACTGTCGAATTCACAAATTATGAATTATTGAAAATTAGAAACAACTAAATAGCGGCGTATGTTATGCCGCGGGCCGGCTCGTAGTTGTTAATGGGCTGGCTACAGCGCGGCTGTGGGCCTGGTGCCCATGTGGCTGTCCGTATACACTCTACTGTACGTATTCTCACTGTTCTCGGATGAGAATTTTTCTTCAGTTTAAACTTGTGTTTCTTTATATTTTGTGTCATGAGTTTTTAAAATTAAACAATATAACTATTAATAATAGTGCAAGGAGCTGGAAGGCCTCATCATGACATCTAAGGAGCCGCATGCGGCTCGCTAGCCGCAGGTTGCCGACCCTGGGTGAGGCAAATAAGTCTAAAAATTTAATAGCTAGAACCACTAGAACCGTTTAACAGTTGTAATAAGCGTAAGTTGTAATAAATTCAATATTTTGTAAGGCAACCGTTAAGGGTTTTTAATAAGCATATTTAACAAATTTTGTAATTAATTTGAAAAAGGTTTTAAATTGTTTTAAATATCCACTAGCAAATTATTTTCCCATTATTATAATTAAACATCAACTGTTTTACTTTTTATCTGCTAATAATAAACTTATTTTATTAAATATAACAGTTTATTTGATGGTTAAGTTCCTTGAATGTAATTGTATTTTAAACATGGGAGCTAACTATTACTATAGTGAGAGAAAACATTAATCACTTTTCCGCTCAATGTTGAGCCAACATTTAATGATTTGTCTACACAATTAATGAGCTGGTTTATGGTACTGCATTGTGTGTACATTTTGGTGGTAGATAGAACTGTTAAATAACGATCTTTTAATATATATTGTTTAATACACATACTTCGGCGGGTATCTATATATATAATTCTCTTCTGGGAGACGCTAGAAAACAAGCTGTAAGCGCGCTACCTACCACCCCATCCCTACATGGTCTGGTGAGCTTTGGTTCACGCTAAATGTTTACAAATCGTAGAGCCGGGTTTAGTGAAGGCTATTAGGGGCAGGTAATTTACTTTGAAACGAGGTAACTAAGAGGAGATTGCTTTCACGGGGGGGGGGGGGGGGGGTGTAGGGTAGGGGTTGGGGGAAAGGAGGGTGGGGGTAGTATCGTCCTCAACGACCTACTGATAGTGTTTTAAAGCAAATATTTTCAGTGGCAGCATTGGTACTGTCAAATTCACAAATTATGAATTCCTGAAAAGTAGAAAATAAAACAACTAAATAGCGGCGTATGATATGCCGCGGGTAGGCTCGTTCTATTTAAAATTCTTGGATAAATATGTTGATAAATAGCTTACAAAGCATCATTTCTGGCTCAGTGTGCGCCTGTGGTTTAGGAATGTTATACACATACTTTAAATGGAGAATACGAATAGCGTACCCCATATGTTATATATACAAATAAAATGCTTTAGTAAAATTGTGCGAGGTATTTTTAGTCGTAGTCCTATGTGATTTTTTGGGGGTTTTCATGACTTTTCAAACCTGTGTGAGATTATACACGTTTATTTCGTATTGTCTCGTTAACTTTAGTTCAACATGTCACCCTTTCGGACCTAACGATCCATGCAGCAGATGATGTAGAGTTCACCTGTCACTGATATATATATATATATATATATATATATATATATATATATATATATATATATATATATATATATATATATATACGTGCGGCGTCAAAACAGCCAATGACAAAACGGCCCCGTCAAAACGACCCCGACAAATCGGCCCCGACAAATCGGCCCCGACAAATCGGCCCCATCAAATTGACCCCGTCAAAAGGGCCAGCGACATATGGACCCCGTCATATAGGCACCCAACAAATAAGCTCCCGTCATTTAGGCTACCGACAAATAGGCTCCCGTTATATAGGCTCCCAACAAAAGGGCTCCAGTCAATAAGGCTCCTGACAAATAGACTCCCGTCATTTTGGCTCCCGACATATAGGCTCCCGTCATTTAGTTTTTTCCACAAAACGGCCCCCGTCATTACGACTCCCGACAAATAAGCTCCCGCCATTTAGTTTCTCCACAAAACGGCCCCGTCATTACGACTTCTGACAAATAGGCTAGCGTCATTTGGGCTAATGACAAAAAGGCTCCTGTCAATTTGGCTCCAGACAAAATGACCACCTACAATACCGTTTCTGTAGAGACTAAGTCTCCCGGCAAAGCGGTCTCATTGAATATGACACCTGCCAGTGGGACCCCTTCATCAATATTCTTTAGAGTTAGCTTATCCAACACTCTTATGTAATACAAAGTATGCATCTCTTGTGCGGCAGGCCTTATTTTTATATTAGTTTATCTATTATAAAATATAGTATGTTTTAATTTAAGGGTCATCTATCTATGACATCCATAAATGAGTCGGTTATAGGCTGTTCCAACTCAGTGTGTGGTGAGAAGGGTCCACACTGTACCTTCCAACCTGCTGTATGCTTGTAGGTTATCAAAAGAAAATGCTGTTATCATGTAAACATCATGTATATCATACATTTAATCTTCTGTGCTCGCTTTTAAGCAACAGATCTTTTCTGTTGAAAATTAAACATTATCAAAACTTTAGAATTGGTGGAATTTAGCTGTTAAGGGCTCGATTTGTTGGTGAATTAATGTTGGTTCATGAAAAACAATTTCATACGGGCATTTAAAAGAGGTTAAAGTGGTATTGGAGGTAGGACAAAATGGTTACTTTAATGCCAATAGTGGTCATGCCATTTATAACAGTGAAACATTGTTGGATCGTATCTTGGGAGTGTGTTTTGAGATTACATCAGAAAAAGACAGTAGTTGTGCGCATGCGTGAGAAGTAGGAGGAGGAAGGCAAGAACATGGCGTAGCTTAGCTGAACATGCCGTCTATGTGAAGACAAAATAAATATATATAAAACGTAAAAGAAGGCTTGTCTTGTGATTTTGTACGTGATAGATAAAGGTAGGAGAAAGGTCTGTGGCAAGTTTATATCGTGAACCCAGTCACACAAAAACACTGTGACACCATTCATTGGTCTGGAGCCAATATGTCGGGAGTCATTTTGTCAAAAGCCAATATGTCGGGAACCCAATTGCCGGGAGCCAATTTGTCGGGAGCCCATTTATCGGTATAAAATATGTCGTGAGCCCATTTGTCGGGAGCCCATTTGTCTTGAGCCCTTATGTCGGGAGCCAATATGTCGGAAGCCGCTTTGTCGGGAGCCAATATCTCCTGAGCCTATTTGTCAGGGGGTAATATGTCGGGAGTCCATTTGTCGGCAGCCAAAATATCGGGAGCCCATTAGTCGGGAGCCTATATGTCGCAAGTCAATATGACGGGAGCCCATTTGACGGGAGCCAATAAGTAGAGGCCCTTTTGACGGGTCTATTTTAACTGGGTCGTCTTGTCGGGGGTCGATTTGACGGGGTCAAATTAACGGGGCCGTCTTGTCCCAGGCCGTTTTGACAGGGCACCATATATATATATATATATATATATATATATATATATATATATATATATATATATATATATATATATATATATATATATATATATATATATATATATATATATATATATATATATATATATATATATATATATATATTTATATATATATATATATATATATAGCTGGTACAAATAGCTGTACATATATGTGGATAGTATAATTACCTGTATATAGATGTGGCTAGTTTAATTAGCTGTTTATAAATGTGGCTAGTATAATTAGCTGTTAGCTGTACCTAGATGTGACTAACTAGAGCTCTAATATCTCCCCCCCCCCCCCCAAACTCCACTCCCACCCCACCTACCCCTAGGCCTGGCCCGCGTGGAGCAGCTGTACCAGGTCGCCAACAGGTACCTAACTGTGATTCTAGACGCCAAGCGCGTCATGGGCGTGGACGACTGCCACCGGATGATAGGCGAGCAGCACCTACAGGATAAGGACGTGGAGCTACGGATCTTGCTGGACATGCGGACCGACAAGGCGGAGAAGACCATCTTAAGCGTGGTAAATACATGTAGATTTTAGTGGGAAATAGTTGTTAGAAGTGATAAATACATGTAGAATTTTGTGGTAAATAGTTGCCAGAAGTGGTAAATACATGTAGATTTTAGTGGTAATTAGTTGCCAGAAGTGGTAAATACATGTAGATTTTAGTGGGAAATAGTTGTCAGAAGTGGTAAATACATGTAGATTTTAGTGGTAAATAGTTGTCAGAAGTGGTAAATACATGTAGATTTTAGTGGTAAACATTTGTCAGAAGTAGTAAATACATGTAGATTTTAGTGGTAAATAGTTGTCAGAAGTGGTAAATACATGTCGATTTTAGTGGTAATTAGTTGTCAGAAGTGATAAATACCTGTCGATTTTAGTGGGAAATAGTTGTCAGAAGTGGTAAATACTTGTAGATTTTAGTGGGAAATAATTGTCATAAGTGGTAAATACATATTATATAAATATTTTATATGTAAGTGGTAAATAGTTTTCAAAAGTGGTAAATACATGCATGTGATTGGTTAATGGTCGTCAGATTGGGTAAATACATAAGTTAAATAATTACATATACAAATAGCTAGGTGAGTATATGACTTGATGGATAAGTACACGGTTGTGATTGGAAGACGTTATATTCATATTTAGGATGTTAATGGTTTTATGTTGTTTAAATGAAAGTGATAGTAAGTAATAATTTTAAAATTGTCTTGTGGGTTAAACGATAGATGTTGTAAATTGTCAGATGTTGTAAATTGTCAGATGTGGTAAATTTTCAGACGTGGTATATTGTCAGATATTGTAAATAGTATGATGTTGTAAATTGTTAGGCGTTGTAAACTGTCAGATGTTGTAAATTGTCAAATGATGTAAATTGTCAGATTTGGTAAATTGTCAGATATCGTAAATTGTCAGACGTATTATATTGTTATATGCAGTGAAGTTCTAGTTATGGTAAATTGTCAGATGTGGTAAATTGTTAAAAGTGGTATTATATCAGATGTTGTAAATTGCCAAATGTAGTGTAATGCCATGTGTGGTATTATACTACATTATGCGTACGATTTCGAGCTGACCAACCGAAATAGCATATTTTCAAGACGCTTTTTTTTCCACTTAACCACACATCACTGATATTTCACTGGCATACATGCTTAAAGGGACATTATCACCAAGCCCTAAGGGAAAGAAACGCAATAATTTATCAGAAAATAAGTATTAGACATACACATCTCAATGTTTTACAGTGATAGTAATAATTATTTTCAATTTAAATACATCATTTAATTTTTTCAGTACATGTAAGCAAAAATATTCTATAAAGTAATATGTCAATATTTTGAAATATGTTTTAACATGTTGTAAATAATTATCCGAAAACCGTACATAAAGTATTTAATACGTGGCATATAGTTTACCTACGTTCTGTAATAGTTCATTCATATACCCACATCTTCAGCATTTTGTATTTTTTTTTGCCAAAAAAGAAATAAATAAAATAAAAGATTCTTATTCAATTTTATGATCGTTTGTACTATATAGTTTGAAAAAAAAATCTGTTAAAACAAATATAAAAATAATAAAAAGATTCATATATATTATCCCATATTAATACTTTAAGGCTCACCCTTTGATATTTCTGTTATATCAAACTTAGCTCCATCAAGTATTTGCCATTATGTAAATAATTATTACCCTATCACTTGTATGCACATTTTGTTACTGAATTCACAAACATGTTATTTGTTTAATCAAAAATAATAGTATTAAAAAATTTAAAAAAAATAAATAAAAGATTCATGATTTTCCACAATGAAAATATCTTAGTTCCTGTCGGATTTAATTCTCAATTTCCCATTTTCTGACTGATACTTCTCCTTAATTCTAACTGTTTCTACAATTAAACCCTCCTTTTAAAAATATTAATTTTTTTTCACAAAATATTTAATGTCCTAAAGTAATACAATTGCAAAAAGTTCATTTTTTTAAAATATGTTAGTAAAAACATCGTTTGCTGAATTGTGCCAAAGAGCATATCAGCAAACAAAGTAAAATTGACAAAAATAATCTATTTTGTTCTTTTAGTGTATTTTTAGTATGAATAATTAATCCCTATTATTACTTTTAAATAATAATGAATTCAAAATTAAATTTTAAAAAAGTTAAATAGATATTTCATTTGTTTTTAATAGTTTTAGTGGCTTAATGTTTTTAGGCATTAAATAAAGTGAGATATCTTAAATATCTTTTACTTCAACCTCCGCTATTTCAACAACTTTTTTGTTTATGTTTCGACTCACGTTTCATTCTACACGTGTTGTTTCCTGGCAATTCGTTCGATGTTCCCAGAAACTAGAACTTATTTATCACTGTCCTTGCGACATTTGACCCTTTCTATTTTCTTCCTGCGCGGCTGAGTGATTGAATTGTCCACTAACTCCAGGGCTATTCTGTCCAATGCATGTGGATCGAATATTTTCCTCAGCGTTACAATGTGATCCTTCAGATCTAACTTCGCGATCTTTTAAAATAAGAGATATCACTCTATGCCTCTCAGACCTAATATTTAACACAGTTCCCTTTTTTTAAAGTTTCAATTAATTGTTCAAAATTAATGTAATATTAAATCGTGAATTATTTATTTTTTTATTTTTGTGATTAATGAATATATTACTCGTATGCAACAACCATGCAATATACACATTAAATCACTCTATGCCTCTAAGACCTAATATTTAACTCAGTTCACTTTTTTAAAGTTCAAATTATTTTTTTTTTATATTAATGTAGAATGAAATTTTAATTTAAACAAAAAAAATGTGATTAATAAATATTTTGACTACTATGCAACTATCATGCAAAAAACACATTAAATAATTGACTTTAGTTTTAGGAATTAATATGAAAATAATTGAAAGTTATACAATATTGCATATTAAAAAGTTCTAAATTAATTTATCTACAAAAAAAACATCCTGTAGTCGTGCTATGGATACTATTATGCATTATTATTATCTAAATAGCAGGTATTTTAATGTTTAAAATTATGTATATTATATTCTCATTTCTTATTTATTTATGTAAACGTAAAATATGATTTATAGTTATTTCCCTGTCAACTATGTTACTGAAACATGGGAGAAAACTTATAATTATTATCCATGACAGCTTTAGTGGATTGAATTGTGACTGACTTGTCCACTAGCTCCAATGCATGTGGATCGAAAGTTTTCATCAGCGTTACAATGTGATCCTTCAGATCTAACTTCGCGATCTTTTAAAATAAGAGATATCACTCTATGCCTTTCAGACCTAATATTTAACTCAGTTCACTTTTTTAAGGTTCAAATTATTATTTTTTTTTAATTAATGTTGAATGAAATGTTGATTTTTTTTTTAAAAAAACATTTTTTGTGATTAATAAATATTTTGACTACTATGCAACTATCATGCAATAAACACATTAAATGATTGACTTTACTTTTAGGAATTAATATGAAAATAATTGAAAGTTATACAATCTTGCATACAGAAATGTTCTAAATTAATTTATCTACAAAAAATATACATCCTGTAGTCGTGCTATGGATATTATTCTGCATTATTATTATCTAAATAACAGGTATTTTAATGCTTACAATTATGTATATTATATTCTCATTTCTTATTTATTTATGTAAACGTGAAATATGTTTTTCCCTGTCAACTTTGTTACATAGGAGAAAACTAATAATTATTATCCATGACCGCTTTAGTGGATTGAATTGTGACTGACTTGTCCACTAGCTCCAGGGCTATTCTATCCAATGCATGTGGTTCGAAAGTTTTTATCAGCGTTACAATGTGATCCTTCAGATCTAACTTCGTTATCTTTTAAAATGAGAGATATTACTCTATGCCTCTCAGACCTAATATTTAACTCAGTTCACTTTTTTAAAGTTTCAAATTATTTTGTTCAAAATTAATGTAGAATTAAATGTTGATTTTTTTTTGTGATTTTTTTTTTTAAAGTGTTTATTAGTTTTATGTTATCAACAATATAGGTCTTGCTAAAAAAAGGAAATAGCAGGTCACAAATTTAATTTTTACTTATTTTACAAATCTTTACAAGGCTTTCAAGTGTTATTTTTTATGAGTAGGATGATTAGGTAAAACAATTAATTTGACTGCAAATTAAATAAATGTTTAAAATGAAGTTTCATACAAATACAAACCTCACAAATGTTAAAAGATGTACAATCTTTATAGAAGTAAATGCATCACAACTTAACCACAAGAGATCATGTTACATAGTAACAGTTGTATTTGAAACAAGTTCTTATGTAAATGCTTCATCATATCAACCTTTGTCATTTGTCTTTTTTTTTCAAATTTCTGTGCCAGTTCTTTCATGTAATCGATCAATCCTATTGGACCAGGCAACTTTGGAACCTCATAATTTTGTGCAACATATAAACCTGAGTAGGTGCCAACTATAAAAACTAGCACCCGAGACATGGTGTTGGTTCAAAATTTCTAGGGAGGAAAGAAACCTTAGAACAAAGTTCAGCTATTTCGCAACACTTGCCTCGGACTTAGCCTAGGGGTCCTAGGCTGTTGCTATGCAATGAGGGATGGCGGTTAGTTTTTAGACTTTAAAATGTTTCAAAGATGGGTTATTAAAAAAAAAGATTATAACAAATTAGCAGTACTGTTGCTGTAGACGATCAAACTGAATCATAAAAAAGTTTTCTTTAAAGTTTTTAGTTTAAAGGCAGAGCTGTGATTGAGGGAGGTCAGGATTTTTTTTTTTGTGATTAATAAATATTTTAGCTAGTACGCAACCATAATGCAACATACACAATAAATCATTGAATTTACTTTTAGAAATTAATATGAAAATAATTGAAAGTTATACAATCATGCATATAAAAAAGTTCTAAATTAATTTATATATAAAAAATATATATCCTGTAGTCGTGCTATGGATATTATTATGCATTATTATTATCTAAATAACAGGTATTTTAATGTTT